CTATACATGCGTATTTCGTCACTCAGAGAGATAAAATTGGATGGATATATGCCAAAATATCCACGAGTATATATATATATATATACAAGGGCAAAGGCCGGCGCAGAAGCGCCGGTCTTTCCACACACTCTTCACCCCAAACGATCTAACATTGGACACTAAATTCTAGAATATATAAATAATAAAGTAAAGCATACAATAATGATAATAATAATAATGACAATAATAATAGTGATAGTAGTAATGGTACAAAACATAGAATACAATAGAAAGAAAATAGAAATAAAATAGAACTGGACAAACAAAACAAATAAATAAACGAAGCGCAATGAATGAAGTACCCAGACAGAAACAAACTGACACAAGATAAGGTGCCGACATCCCTATCGCAGTTTACAGGCGTTGGGGCGGCACTCGGTCAGCACGGGAGTCGCTCGTGTTCCCGCCAGCGCGCAGGTGCACGCGCGCTAATCACCCGTCGATGTCCCGCTGGGCGGGGGAGTTCCCGGTAGCGGGCGGCGTATCGTTCCGGATTCCGAAATCGATTCGAGCGCGACTGTCGCGCCCGACGTCGCGATGTTAACCGACGCGGTACTGGTTGAGAAAACGGTCGCGAGAGCGGCCGCACCCGGAGCGGCCGATTCCGGCGAGCTGTATTGCCGAATACCCGTGACATGTTCAATATATATGTCCCGGAACCACGCGATCGTCTCCGATACCATGAGTCGCCTCATTAATGCCGCGAGACGCGCAAAAGGGAAATGACCCTCGTTGTGAGGATGCCAGGCGCCCAGGGCACCCACAACGAAGCCGTTGACGTACACGGCGCAACCGTTCCTGTTTAACGCGGCTGCGAGAGGCGCGTATTTTTCAATTCTGGCGAGTCTAGCTCGCTCGAGTGCCGAAAAGGTGTTATCGAAAGGAACGGTCACGTCCACGACGACGACGGTCCTCGAGGGCTCGTGCGTCACGACAATGTCGGGACGCAAAGCCGCAAGGTCTTCGGGGGCATCCCGGACGCACCGGTCGATCCTCACTTCCCCCGGTAACCTGGAGGCCGCAGCAAGTCTCCTCACGATCGCGTTGTGCCGCAATCGCTAGGCGGCCGAGTGGCGGCCGCAGTGGCACAGCACATGGGGCAAAGTCTCCGACTCGTACCCGCATCGCCG